CAACCTGCCCAGTGGCTTCAGTAAACAACAGACCCAGTGGCGTCAATAACAACCTGCCCAGTGGCATCAATAACAACCTGCCCAGTGGCTTCAATAACAACACGCACTGTGGCGTCTTTAGCAACCTGCCCAGTGACGTCTATAACAATCTGCCCAGTGGCGTCTACAACAACCTGCCTAGTGGCTTCAGTAAACAACACGCCCAGTGGCGTCAATAACAACCTGCCCAGTGGCTTCAATAACAACACGCAGTGTGGCGTCTATAACAACCTGCCCAGTGACGTCTATAACAATCTGCCCAGTGGCGTCAATAACTACCTGCCCAGTGGCTTCACAAATAAACACGCCCAATGGCGTCAATAACAACACTCCCAGTGGCGTCTGTAACAACCCGCCCAGTGGCGTCAATAACAACATGCCCAGTGCCCTACAAACAACCTGCCCAGTGGCTTCAATAACAACACCCAAAGTGGCTTCAATAACAATACGTCCAATGGCGTCTATAAAAACCTGCCCAGTGGCATCAATAACAACCTGCCCAGTGGCGTCTATAACAACCTGCCCAGTGGCGTCAATAACAACCTGCCCAGTGGCTTTACAAACAAACACGCCCAGTGGCGTCAAAAACAACAACACACCCAGTGGCGTCTGTAACAACACCCAGTGGCTTAAATAACTACCAGCCCATGGCTTAAATGACGATATGCCCATTGGCTTCAACAGCATCCTGCCGATTGGCATTAATAATAATCTGTCCAGTGGTGTCAATAACAACATTCCCAGTGGCGTCAATAACAACATGCCCAGTGGCTTAATTAACTATCAGCCCAGTGGCTTAAATTACAACTTGCCCAGTGTCTTCAATAACAACACGCCCAGTGGCTTCAACAACCTGTTCAGTTGCGTCAACAACAACCAGTCCAGTGGCTTCAACAACAACTTGCCCATTAGCTTCAATAACAACATGCCCAGCGGTTTAAATAACTATCAGCCAAGTGGCTTTAATTACGACATACCCAGTGGCTTCATTAACAACTAGTCCAGCGGCTTCAATAACAACCATCCAGTGACTTCAGAAACAACCTGTCCAGTGGATTTAATGATAAACAGCCAAGAGGCTTAATATAACTATTAGTCCAGTGCCTTCAATAACAACCAGTCCAGTGGCTTCAATAACAACCTTTCCAGTGACTTCAATAACAACCATTCCAGTGACTTAAATAACAACCTTTCCAGTGACTTCAATAACAACCTGTCCAGTGGATTTAATGCCCATAGGCTTAATATATCAGTATAGTGCCGCCAATACAGCATGTCCAGTGCCTTCAATAACAACCTGTCTAGTGTATTTAATGATAACAGCCCAGAGGCTTAAATAACTATCAGTCCAGTGCCTTCAATTACAACATGCCCATTGGCATCAATGACAACCAGTCCAATGTCTTCAATAACAACCATTCCAGTGACTTCAATAACAATAGTCAAGTGGCTTCAATAACAATCGGTACATATGCTTCGATAATAACCAGTCAACGGCTTCAATAAAATCAGCACAGTGGCTTCAATGACAACCAGTCACTTAGTATCAAGACAACCAGTCAGGAGCACGTGGTTTCAATTTTTTTTTTTTTTTTACCAGCACATGCAGTAAATTTAACAATCAATCAGCCCAGTGATTAAGACAAATAGATACTCAAAAAGTAATAAACTCTGAAGAAATCTACTAGTATCATTCCCAGTGGTAAATTAAGCAACAATAATCAAAATGAAACTCTTGGTAACTGTATTATAGTTTAGCTACAGCTCATGATAACTATACATTATATAACCTGCGCATGTCAGAACTCTGAACAAGGATAAACAAAACCAAAAACAAAAATGTTTATATTCCAATTCCTTTCTCTGAATTAGCTTCTGAAACAAATTCAGCATTATTAAATATTTCTTGTTAAATATAACAGTATAACTGGCGGAACTGTGATAAACTGGATATAAGAACCATAATCAATCATGTCTAAAACAAATGAATGTGTATCATTATCTTTCAAATACTTATATATGTTCTTCTCATTTCCCTAAACAGATCATGAAGAGGGATTCTTTTTCATAATCAAATGACATGTACTGAATTACAATCTAAATGTTCATTTTTATAATAAATTTTAAATTCAATATGATGAAAAACAATACATGATGTAAACAATACTTATCACCTTGATCTTTAAAACGCTCTTGTTCCTTGTGCTACTTGGTCCGTCTAGGTCCGTCTAGGTCCGTGTTACAGCAGACCTAATTTTCTTCTCATCCTAGGAATCCTAAGCAAGCTCGTCTGATAGGTATTCTTTGACTGTATCCCATTCTGCTGGTGACTTGTCAGCGATCTTACTACACTTGTTCCGCTTAAGAATTTTCTCCATAAGGTCATAGCTAATATCCACGACTTTAGAATATTCATCACTCTCGGCTGCACGTTTGATCCTGGATACTATATAATCAATTTCAGAATTAAATTCGTGCTGAACATGCTTACTATAACTTAAACTTATAAGAAAGTCTTGATTTAAGCTGTTTATAACAAGGTTTCTGATTTATTCGTCGCGTCTTCCAGAAGTTCCATCTTTAGGCTATCAATTTTACTATTTAAATACTGTTTAAAATTGTTCAAGGTTATGTCTGCAATTTTGGTTACCATATCTTTATTGTTATGTCAGTATCATAATATCATAAAAGATCATAAACGTGATTTTCTTCACGTTCAGAACTTGCCATATTACGAAAAGTACAAGTTGAAGATAAACTAATAAAATGCTACTGTACACTTTGACTGCAATGGCTCGAATGACTTTAAATCACCTGAGTTCACTCGTGCATGAACTCAATATCCCAATCGAACCGACCTTACTATAATTAACCAAACAATAGTCAACTATAAACACACAACATTTTTACATGTTCGATTTTTGTACAACTTTGATAAATACATGAGAAATACATTTATTATCAGGATTACTAGAAGTACAATATCGGAAAGCTTATCCGAGTGTTGGTTGTCTAACGTCCAGTGGAAAATATTTCACGATACCTAACGTCTAGTGGCAAATATTTCAAGGATGATCTAATTCAGGACGAGATCAAATGAACAATTGTCAAAATATGTATTTTCTGCGATGTATGTGGACTGGTGTGAAGAGCGGAAAATGCGTAGTGCACAGTTTGAAGGTTTGGACTACAGGGCTAGGAAAGCAACGTTATGAACACATGGCTATTTCGTAGTTAACCCTTGCAGTTAGAAAATTAACTATATAATAAGTTTCGGAAACTTTTAATCCAGTCGATATTACCACCTGAAGAGAACACACCAAAACAATGGGTGCATGTCCAGAACCGGTGACAAAAGGAACAGCTACATGTATACAATAATACTCTTTATTAAAACAAAATATTATATGTGTGTCGTTTGCATGCTGTCTCATTTACGCATACCCCGCAACTCCTATCACTCATATTCCCATGGTACAATCAAGTTTTGCTATCGATAATTTGTTTTTTCATATTACTTATTCTCTCGTCGACAATCCTGATCAGGCTGGATATAGAAAATTCATGGTAAAATTCCATTTTAGCACAGTTTCAAATAGCAATTTTCTTCATTAATGCATCTCAAATTGTCGCAAAAAAAGCAAATAACGCTATTTGTTGAATAGTATAGACAATTTGTTCAAATTGTAAAATGAATGTCATTATAAATATAATAAGATGTGGTATGATTGCCAATGAGACAACTCTCCACCAGAGACCGGAAACCAAATGACGTAGAAGTTAACGATTAGAGGTCACCGTACGGCCTTCAATAATGAGCAAAAACCCATATCGCATAGTTATCTATAAAAGGCCCAGAAATAACAAATGTAAAACAATTCAAACAAGAAAATTGATTTATGTATAAAACAATAAACAAAAATGATATACAGCAACAAACGACAACCAGTGAATTACAGGCTCCTGAATTGGGACAGGCACACACATAGTATGGCTGGGTTTAACGTGTTTGCTGACGCTTAGCCCTCCCCTTACCTGGGCAGTGGTGTAACATGTACAGCATAAGAACAAACTATAAAATAAAGATCAGTTGAAACGAGCTTAACTCATCGATACAAAGCACAAAAAAACTAACAAAAACAAAAAAGACATAAAGTAAAGATCTGAGAGTACTCACAGTAATTGAAAACTAGTTGAAAGCCAATAACAACTGATAAAAAAATCATGTATTCAAGACTAAAATATCAATCAGTACACATCCAACATCCAATGGATTTAATGTTCGTTTCTCTGTTTCAAAATAACAAGCTTTTAGAAAGACTGTTATAAATTGATAGTATATAGATACAGGAAATAAAAAAGCAGGAAAAAATGAAGGGTCAGTGTCCTTGTTTTCGAGATATAAGCCATTGAAAATTTGGCGGGAAATGATTCTCTCTAGATTTTTCATACATTTAACATTGGCACCTTTTTTTTCTTAGGAAGATAAATGGTGACGACTGATAAATCATTTTGATCCGTTCATTTATACACCGCATTACAGCAGAATGCATTGAGTGTGTAGATAAAGGTAGAATCTTATGTTAGCTTGCTTGTTAGCTGAACCGTGAAGTCATTATTAGGTTAGGTATACTACCCTCCTTTCTGAGTAGTCTAGTCCTACAGAAATAGATTGGTTATCTGTCGGACTAGTCTACTCTTAAAGGAGGGTAGTTTACCTAACCTAATAATGACTTCAAGGTTCAGCTAGCAAGCAAGCTAACCAAAGATATTACCTTTACCTACACACTCAATGCATTCTGCTGTAATTGTTATTTTTTAATGTTTAGGTCGATACTGATTAATGATAAGTATACATAATTTTAATTAGGAAAAAGTATCAATTCAATTTTTTTTGCAGTACAAAATGAATACGTTTTTTTAGTGTATAGAAGAATATTTTATAAACAAAATAAACAAGATTTGTAAACGATAAAGGATTTACTTATAAATATAAATGTATAATGCCCTCTTACATGTTATAACTAAATGCTCTACATACATATATGAAATTGGTGTTAGTTGTTACTGAGGCGATTTGATATAAAACAATCATATATGACTATAAGTTTCTCTCCAACATATGCTTTGTAGTCCATGAAAAAGGATTAACCACTATACATTCTAATTTCTTCATTCCTTAATGAAATGTATGCTATTCTTGTATAAGATAATGTCCGTTCGTTCCAACTATCACTTGATTATGCGTCAGTGCCATATCCCTTCTGATCTTATTCTGAAATAAAAATCATAAGAACACTTTGACAACTTTCTACCTCTCAAAATATAGAATTTATGCATGATCGGTAATAAAAACAAGTGATTACATTCAAGAATATCATGACCTATTGAAGAACAAAATCTATTTGCAGACTTCTAGTACGCCTATTCTGGATTTCATTATGTTGTGTGCATTGCCATTAGCGAGTTTTTGGTATTTAAATAAAATGAAGGGAAAAAGCTGCTCTTAAGATCCCTGTCTTTGACAATATAACTAAAATTGAGAATGGAAACGGGGAATGTGTCAAAGAGCCAACAACCCGACAAGAGAGCAGAAAACAGCCCAAGGCCACAAATGGGTCTTCAACACAGCGAGAAAATCCCGCACCCGGAGACGGGCTTCAGTTGGCCCCCAAACAATAATGTATACTATTTCAGCGAAAATGGACGTCACACTAACCTCTGAAACATATTTACTAAGGGAATTGATGATTACGAATTTTGGATCAAGGTAGAATTTGCTAATCTTCCAGAGCACCTGATTTCCCTATTTTACAGAATATATGAACAATAGAAGTTGTTAATAATATGAACATGAGACTGGAAACCAGTGACACGAAAATTAAAAGACAATTTTGTTGACCTTAAATGGATTTGGCTATTTTTTTGGGGTCCTTTTTAGTTGTATAGCTCTTCAACTGTTTCGGTTCTTATATATCCTTGTCTTTCAAATATTCCGTGTTGAACGTTCCTGATGAAGGTAAACACAGAAAAGCGCTTGGGAAGCATGAAATTTATAACGTGTTCTTTTTAAAAAAATTTCGTGTTGCACATAACCCTATAGATAAAACACATATGTATAAACTTAAAACAAAAGAAATAAGAAAATGAATTGAAGAATAAAGACAACAAAACAAACAGATTACGGAAATGATTATCAATGAACTTGTAATTGACCAATTAACAAATCTTGTGTTTTATCTGTATCTTCCCAGTTCGGGGTGATTAATATACCTCCTTAGGCGGAGGAATTTCATATTATCTGCAAGATACTTGTCTTCCGAAAATGAAGGCTATCGATAGCATTTTTGTTTATTTTATCTAGTAGAACGTTGTTTTAATTTTGGATTTTTTGATTCTTGAGTGTGTTACAAATCCAGACATACGAGTAAGTACAATATATAAATAGATACACATCCATCTTTTCTCCGCACATTTTCTTTTAAATTGTGTTAAAAAATCGATGTGCACAAACGATAACTGGAGATTTCCCTATTTTGTAACAAAAACATTTTTCTAAATGTTACCTTTCCTTTATAATGTTTATTTGCATTTTCAAATAGATGGACCGGTTTTGGAAATAGTGAAACTACTGTTGCATTTTAATAGACATTTTAAACAGTTACAGTCTTAAAACTTTAATGGACTGACATTTAGAGATGCCCGTTTGTATTATTATTTTATATTACTAACCTAATATATTTTTAATGTGATGTAGGTTTAACAGATTTTCCTCTTGAATTGCTCCTCCTAAGTGCAATACTGCCTGAAATTACAATTCGTTTATATCAAATCACAGAAATAAGGAAGCTTCAGGACGAAATATTTCATATTAATCGTTTACATTTCTTCATATACATACACAGTTTACATTTTTATATAAAAAAAAAAAATATTCCAATAGAGGTCTAACTTACATAATAAACTAAAGTAATCAAATAGTGAGAATCAACTGATCCTAAATGAATCTTCAATTCAGTCTAATGGCAATCGATGTGTATAAAGGGTATCACTTATAGTATAATACAAACCATGACCAAATCATAAATAAGTCTGACAAAATTGCCTCGTCCTTAAATTTATATGACCCTACAACTTAATATGTAATTTTTATAATGGCTATCATTCATAATAGAATACACCCTACATATATGACCAAATCGTAAATTAGTCTGACAAAATTGACTCGTCCTTAAATTTATATAAGTCTACAACTGATAAAATGATTTTAAATCATACTTTTAACTATGTTTAAAATGTCAAAGGAAAAGTGTTTTCAGCATACCTTAGTAATGCTTTCCATGGTGATATTAAACTTTGTTACGTTTAACATTCCGCTACTACTTTGAAAAATTTCTCTTCTGATGCTATCAATGACATCTAATTGATAATCATCGTCTTTCTTCCCTTTTTCTTCTTCAGGTCTTTGTTTTAAAAGGAAAATCATCAATTCCAAATCAAATGTATTCGAATCTTCCTCTGAATGATAAATATGATTAACATATAATTTGTGTTCCTTAATGATTTTAGGTAACATGTAATGCCATAAAGCTTCATCATTAACGATTTCGGTATTTAATAAAAGGTAACAAATGAAAACTGTGAGATGTATATCGTATCTCGTGTTATAAATTATAGTTTATGATGCTATAATGTTATGTGGTTTTAAAGTGACAAAAGAAGTTTCCGACAAAAAATACATATTAATATATTTATAAAAAAAATAATTAAATGACTGAATAATAGCCAACGATAAATCTTACGGGGCGATGGATCATATAAATATGATACAGTACACTACAAAATATAATATATAACCAGTCTAAAAGGGTACACCAAAAAATAACAATAATATGAACAAATGTAACTATAAATATTTCGGATAACAGATATCCTTCATCAGTATGAACACGATGTAAAATGAATCATGACCTGTTTTACTGTATAGAATTGAAGAATGTTATAGTTTTATAATCAGAATAGTTTGATATGATTCATTTTACATCGTGATCATACTGCATATGATGAAGGATATCTGTTATCCGAAATATTTATAGTTACATTTATTCATTTTATTGTTATTTTTTGGTGATGTTGTACCCTTTTAGACTGGTTATAAAAAGAAAATATACATTTATAAACTAAGTCCATTTTTGTTGTTACTGAAAGTGATTCGCGCACTTTAAAAAAGACGGAATCATTAAGAGTGGTAAAATAAATTATAAAATGCGTTCAGATATCTTTATAGCTAGCCTTTTGTTTCTAACTATGCTATACATAGAAATATCAAAGACCAGCAAATAGTTCAAAGACACAGACAAAGTTTTGCATGAATGCCGACTGACGTTCTGCAATGTATGTAAGATAATAAACTAACGTTTTGGGGAAAAAAGTTGTTCTCGTTGCTTCTCTGTTAGATGTGTTCTTTTCTTTAGACTTTTATACTCGCCATTATTCGAATCGTTACAATAATGTGCGTAAATACCCATACGTATTTTATCTAACACTTCAGCAGGACATTCTGTATTGAAATGTTTTCTTATTACAGGATACACTATTTTTGTTAATCCATAAACCACAACTAAAAAATTATTTTCTTCGGAAGTGATGTCTGTGAATTTTTGACTGAAAAAGATAACAATCAATATTACTACAATTAACTTGTAAAGACAAAATTAAATAGGCTATGCATTTCTAAAAATTCCTAAAATTTGCACCATTTACAAGTAAACGAAACGTTACCATGCATAATAATGAGCCACTATTCTATACAATTCTACCGTCATCAGATGCGCGTGCAAAAATTAGAAAACCTAATTCATAAAATGTCAAGGAGAACCAACAAAACTTCTTGAACGTCTTAAGATGAGTCTTCCCACATTGAATTTCGCGGTTTATCTGACGTATCGAATTATAGGTTGGTATATTTGATGATTTTTTGCCGATGGAAAAGTGTAAAAGCAGATAAAACAGCAGTAAGTAGATCACCGATGAATATTCAAATTATGGCACCGCATGAATTCAAACCAGAGCGAGACTGTGTGTCGACATTGTAAGCGATACATTTAATGATGTCAAATGTCATTCGAAATCAAACTCACCCAAAATGTCATGATACAATTGGTTAATTTGCAAATAAGATTATAGACTCTTGAGATTTAAAACCGCAAAGATACTTCTATAGTGAGTTGAGACACGTATCGATCATATAACTCGTAATGTTAACTGTAAAACTTGTCGATGTCACACATATACCGCAGCGGTTACTATGTGACAAGAACACACTATTCCAAGTGACAACTTTATCATAAGAAACCTTTGGTTCAATGGCTTTATTATGAAGAGCTTTTATGAAAACAGAAGCTATGGCATGTCGCAAATACAACATAAAATAATAAAAAGGAACGTTGCTTTCCTTGTTATTAATCGAATGTGTCTATAACGTTACGAACCATTGACAACGTTCATTGTATCAATATATATGTCTTTCTGTGTTTAACATTATTATTTTCTTTTCGGTTGAAATAATGTAAATGATTACAATACAAAACGAACTTTGAATCATCTTTCTTATTTTTTTTTTATATCGCTATCTTGTGTGGAATATTTTGACTTTGTTTATATATGCAACATTCAGAAACGTGTCATCACCCTCGAACGTGTCCAATCCCTCAAACATATAAAAAAAAAGAAGATATGATATGATTGCAAATGAGACAACTCTCGACGACAAAGATGTCCATATGAAGTAGCTTTACGCCCAAACATGTTTAGTTAGTGATAGACACCGAAACGTGTTAATTTCCAATCCTGCCACATTTCAAAAACGACCAATTGTGTCCATCTTTATGAAAAAGAGATTTGTTATCACACATTTGGTTGAAAAAAAATCCAGTCGAGAAAATGAAACAAATGGTAAAATTCGTCATTTTAGGGCAATAACTGTTATAAAAAGTCGTCTGACAATTTTGAAGTTAATGAACAAGTGATCACTTTCATTATTCTGAACATTTCTTCTGTCTTTGTCAGATTTTCACTATCTTAAGCGGTTTTCAAGATAATAGACAAAACTTGCATTTTATCCCTATGTTACATTTTAGCCATGTCGGCCGTGTTGGTTGACAATCGGCATCATGGGACACATTTTATAAACTAGATCCCAATATGGCTAAGTTTGGATCTGGTTAACTCCATCGATTCAGAGAAGATGTTCGTAAAAGTTAACGGACGACAACAGATAACGGACAATAACAGACGACGGACGACAACAGACAATGCACGCCAAGCGATGATAAAAGTATATGAAGTGTCTTAAACAATGTTAAAGTGTGCATGTTTCGGCAGATAGAAATATTCGGACACGTCTGGCTGAGATGAAAATGAGGCACGTTTCATCGAAGACAATTATCGGACACGTATGGTGGAAGTGACGTTGGACATGTTTGGGCGATATTTAATTTTAAGGACACGTTCGAGCATAATGGAAAAGTTTCGGCGAAGCGGACGCGTTTGGGGTATGGAAAAGTTTGAGAATGTTTCATATATATATACATATATAATCATGTACATGTGTATATATCGGATATTAATTTTGTACTCTTTGGGTGCTAAAAGACTGTTTACCCTTCCGGAGCATTCGAGTACATTCACGATTTTTGCAGGTATGAACGGATGTGGAGAAGGAGTTGATAATACACTAAACGAACTACACAATATACCAAAAACATATAGACATACTTACAGTCTTGTACAAGTTTCATATCAAGTTGATAACAAATGAAACAGACGTTATCGTTATGTTTTAATGGTCTACCGAGGTCGATCTTTAATTTTGTGTATCGAGTTAAAGAGAGGCAAAAGATACAAAAGAGATATTCAAACTCATAAGTCGAAAATAAACTGACAACCCATGACAAAATAAGAAAGAGACCAACAGACATACAACAGTACACAAAACACTAAAGATTGAGCGTTACGAACCCCACAAAAAACCGGGGGTGATCTCAAGTGCTTCGGAAGGGTAAGCCGATCCGACTCCACATGTGACGCGGACTTTGATCGTTTTATTGTTTATTAGTATCCCTGATTGGGTATTTGTAATTAGGAGATAACTGTATTGTGTTTTGAGCTTGGTCTTCCTAAAACGTAGATTTTACTGTCGCAAATTGAGTTTACCTAGCGATGCACTATCTCTATTCTAATACCACATATTAAAATAACTTCCATTTTAGTAAATATTTTGGCTTGAAAAATGCCATAAATGAAAAATTCCGCTAAACTGTTACATCGTCTTTGGCATCTAAATAATGTGACGTCATAGGTATACTCCCGATGTCAAACATAAACACTTTTCGTACGCTTCTGAATGGTATAAATATTGACAAAAGGAAAATTTTGAGGAACAAAATTTTAATTCTTTGTTTATTTTTTGAGAAATTAAATACCAAAAGAATTCGGAATTCGGAATAGTGGCTTTCTTCAGTTACGGACTGGTAGAACGTGGAAACTTACCCTTCAAAAAATTTGCCAACGCCCAATGAAAATTATCGTTTTAAAGAAATTGCATTATAATGCCTGTTTGAGATTTTCTGTCTAACTGTAAGACAAGGGTATCCTGTTACAAATCATTTCATGACAACATGTTCTAGATTATCTCGATAACAGGAATGGACTTGCAATCGTGTACGTAGTGATAATCAAAACACAAAACTATATAAATGCATCGAAAACCAAGCAGACAACATGAGCAACAATGGATTTAAGTAAAATCAGAGATACTTAATTTTCTTAAACAAGAGGGAATTTATGTAGAGATCGAACCTTTCAATAAAAACATAACAAACTATTTATAGAAAAACAGTCAGGTATTGTAGATTTTAAGAATTAAGAAACGCTTGAACAAATATATCATAAATGGTACCGCCTTTTGTCCTTTTGTCAATAAATGGCAGTAAAGTTTAGAAAGAAAAAAAGAAACTTTAATCGATGTAATCTCTGTAGAGAAGCCTCATGTAGGTCTTTAAAAACTTACACGGATCAACACATGGCCTTCAACAGTGAGCAAGTCCAATACAGTATAGAAATTTATAAAAGGTTACAGAATATGAAACAATTCAAAAGACAATACAGATATGATAATATAATTGAACTGCGTCGGATAGAAATCGGCCTTAAACAAATGAATATTAATACATCTGTTAACTTATTTCGTGTTGGAAAAATCTATATGCAAAGTCTGTAACTGTTTGAAAATTGAGTTGATATTAGAACACTACAAAACAGACCAAAATTCATCTTCATTTCGTATTTGAATGTTCCAAAAATCAATTCAAGTCTTATACATGCACATGTATACGTGCACTTGCATAAGGTCGATTTCTATCCGATGCAGCTCAATTATTTTGAAACGAAACACAATTTTGATAGACAATAACCAACGACAGTCACTGGACTACTGACTGTTATGCGTTTTCATTTATGAATGATATTGCGAACAGATTGTACTTACGTTCTGTGAGGTAAAGAAAAATCTGTAGGTATCTGTACACTTTTCACACTCAAACCAACTAACAATAGATAAAATAATTGTAAAAAAGCGATGTTTAAACCTTGAAATCCTTAATTTAGCTTAAGCCAAATTAGAGACAAAACAGCTAATACAGTTCTGTTACAAATTTGCATTGTATAAAACTTTTTAAAAAATGCATATATTTCAGAATGAACTATAAGCATTTCAACAGATTTTGGGACTGTCTGCAATTTTTCCACATTCACCCGAACAATAATTATATATATATGTATCCCATATCTAGAATTAACCAAAAAATAATAAAACATATGAAATGTTCGTGATCATGTTGATATTAATAAATCAAATTAGTTGACGAAGCAGCTATAAATTATGTTATGAAAAAAGAGGAAAATGCCAAAAGGAAAATGAAAATAAATATTCAAGGAAAGACTTGACCAACATACAACGGTTTAGCCAAAGGAAAAACAAATAAAAGGTCCATAAGGTGAATATTTGCAAGTCGAAAAGTTCAGGACTAGAATCAAGAAAATGAAATTATGTTTGTTTGGTTCAAATTATTCTTCAGGGATTAACAATTCATCTTAAACATTTCATAATTTCCTTTCAAAGATTATACATATAAAAACTATTGATCAAATGACAATCAAAATGAAAAATTGAATAATCAGTTATCAATTTCAAAAGATTTGGGGACCACTATACTTGTTTTTTATGCGGTCGTATTTTTTTTTTAAATAACATCCATGCTTTGTCAGAGATTAAAAAAGAACAATACATGTTGATGTTTACTAACTATATTATTGATTGATAAACTCTTAAATATTTCTTAATGGGAATATGATATTGTCAATTCATATGATGTTTAAAAGAAACCTTAAATAAGGTCTTTCCCCTGCATTGGGAAAGAATTTTATTGCATTTATCATGACCAAATTTGAATCATCGATAGACCTCATCATGAAGTAATACCAGATGACGCTGTTTAGAATTTCAGCATCCCCTTTTATTGTTTTTTTTTCGACATGCTCCTCCCTGGTTGTTTTTGAAGATATCATGACCTTATTTGGACAATAGGTAGATCTCATGATGAAGTAGAGAAAATTAATACACACAGCATACACAATGTTCCTCTTGAAGAGCTCTTCATTTTATACATCAGACCCAAAACTGTCCGACCATCCGTTCAAAAGTTACGACTATTTAATGTATATTTTTTGTGTATATCTTTGAGATATTAGATATCAACCTACTTTGAACTGCAAAAATGAGCAATATTTTAAGATCTTCAATTTTAGGTCACTGTCAAGGTCATGAGGGAATTTTACATTGACCTTCAAAATAACCTTTACCTTGTGAACCTTTGAAAGGTCAAGTGGTCCTGAGTTGAATGATGGTAGTCCCATGCTCCTGCGACTTTCGGTTCTAAAGTTCGGTATAGTATCATATATTTAATTATTCATTGTACCCTTAATGAGCTATGGCATTGCCCAATTTTTGGCAGTGCTGTACTTCATCTGCAGATCATCTTACCCTTAGCAGATCTGAGATATCTGATTTCGTTTAAGAGATATTGCAGTTTGAAATTTTGTGAGGGGGCCAAAATTTTCTGAATCAACAATAGCTGTCCGCCTGAAATATTCAGAAATTGAAGAGATTAACATGGTTATATGTTTGACTAAATACCAAAAACATTTGGTAATAAACAAAGAAAAATAAGCAGGTTGAAATTTTCATGTTTAGCACTGACTTTGTAAGTTTCATAAGTTCATAAATCGATATTGCATCAGTTTTTGGACTTTGCCAAATGGGGTCATGTGACATATCACATACAACGTCTAAATGAGCTCTATTCAAAAATAGAAATGTAAACCCCCTTTTCCATCCTGAAGAGAAGGGTGGGGTCATAAAGCGCCAAAATTCAAACTTCTAAGATGGTAAGGTTGTCGCATATCAAATGAAAGTCCATAAAGCGTACATTTCAAATATCAAATTTCTGTCCCCCAAAAATGGGGGTCATTAAGTGCAAAAACTAAATTGTCTTCAAGTTATCAAATGAAAGGTCGTAAAGAGTACATCACAACTATATCAAGACTTTTAATGGGAAATACCTTTCAAATGTTTAACAAAGAATTGAGATACTAGTATTATATTATAGTTTGCTCAAAATATTTTATTTAAGTTTATTTTACCAAAACAAACAAAATATAAATTTTACACTTTAAAAGGTGATACAACGAATTTAAGCCACAATTACATATCGCTTTCAGTTTTTAACATATAATTTTTCGTCGAACCGTTTACGTGTAATAATATAAAAAAAAGGAGATGTGGTATGATTGCCAATGAGACAACTATCCACCAAAGTTTAAATGGAGTGGATGTTAGCAATTATAGGCAACTGTACGGCCTTCAAAAATGAGGAAAACCCATACCGAATGGTCGGCTATAAAAGGGACCGACATGAAAATTATTAAACGATTCAATTGAGAAAACTAACGGCCTAATTTATAACAAAACAATTTACGAAAAACAAATATGACAGACATGAACCAACGACAACCACTGAACTACAGGCTCCTGACATGGGACAGGCACAAAAGAATGTGGCGGGGTTAAACATGTTTGTGAGCGCTCAACTCTCACCTAACCTGAGACAGTGGTGTAACAGCACAACATAAGTACAAACTATAAAAATCAGTTGAAAAAGGCTTAACTCATCAGATGGATACAAATAGAAATATATCTAATAAAAACACAGACCGGGTACTTATACATCCTACTTAATGAACTACACCGTTCTTATATCCAAAAATATATATCAAAATTAACTTTCTTTTACCATAATCGCCGAATTATATGAGAATAAACTTTTGAGTAAGCTCTGATAGCTAAAATTGAGAATGGAAATGGGGAATGTGTCAAAGAGTGTAAATAACCCATATGTCTTTTAGATTCATGGATTCAGAAAATTATTACATACAGAAACCAGTAGTACTTGATTTGGTAAATAGTCAAATTCCATGGCAAATTTGACAACTATGGTCATCGCTTCTCATAGAGAATTAGAAAAATGTGCTACAATGATAAGAACAGCCCTCCGCAATGAAAGTTTCGGTAAATCTTACTTTGTCTTGTGCGATTTTTTGTTTTGTTTTTTGGAATTCGTATTTCATATTTCATAACAATCAATTATTATCTATAAACAATACATACCTGTATCACGTACAATAATTGGAAGTGATAGTTCTGTTGTTTCCTGAAAAACAAATAAACCTCAAAATGACAATGTTCTTATATCATACGTTACCGTACCCCTTTAACCATTGTCAGAGAGGATATATTTCAGTTGAATAATTTTATTCTTACAATTTGAAACAATATGATTTGACCAAAAGTAGTCATTTCGGTTTGACAATAATTATTTATAAACGCGAAACCTGTTTAGAATATTTACAATAAAACAGAAAATTATTTGAAATCAAAGCTTTAATATACAATTAAATAGTAATATAATGTGTTATATCCATATATAAAGACTTACCTTTTGATGTCGGAATTGTCTATACAACCAATCACGTGCTTCAACTTCTTGCGTTTTCATCTCACCCAATTGAGAGACGTTACTAGATGATATGTGTTGTACGATATCGGAAAAACTCTTATTGTGTATTATCTGTGATAGTTCTGTTAATGCATTTCGTAAAGCTTCGTCATCAACAGTCCAACTAAGAAAGTATAAAAACCTATCTTGTCCAATTTTGTTCAGCACACTTATAGGGCCCGAAACATAAAAAATTTTGGACAAAAGAGTATCGTCAAGGCTTGAGTATTCAATTCCATTTATTACTGAGAAGTGACAACAACAATCCTTTGTCGTGCAAGATACATGATCTTCTTTTTTATAAAGTTTGTTCCATTCCTTTTTATTAATTAATATTTTTTCAATAGGGTCATTTTTACACTTACAACACCTCCTTTTCTCCATACTATGGTATAATGTATGCTGGTTCTGAACCAGAAAATTGCTGAATCCACTTACGCATAAGCGACTTATAACATAGTTTAAAACACTTGGTATATTTAGAATCAATGGCATCGACACTGACAAAACAGACGTGTCGATCCTTTTTGGAACAAAACGTTCATAGCATTTTTTTAGTTCAGCTGTACAGGAATGCAAACAACTACTTGATCTTACTTTTGTCATTTTAAACAAGGCTTCCCATAGATTTTCTGGAATTACTTTTATGTAAGTAGAGTATTCTGTTGTGCACTCACAACATGGTTCTGCTTTGACTCGTTTATGAAAAAGGTCGTGTTTTTCCTCTCTAAGAACGTCTTCCATCACAAGTTTGTTAAAAATACAATATTCAGAAATTATTTGTTGAAGTATCACAGAAGGAAATTTTTCAGACATGTCAATAAATAAACATAGTTTGTCATAATCGATGCGTATAGGATTCAACTCAATTAGTCTGCCTATGAATAAAAAAGAGAAATGAGAGTTCATATCTATTTAAAACAATTCATAAGATTAATCATGTTTAACTAACAGCTATACCGTTGAGAAATTCAAGTTTTAAAGATAATATTATACTAATGTATAGGAAGTACGCTTACGCTGCTTGTAAAACAAGTTTTAGATCTTTCAAATCATGTAATTAAAAGCGTTTTCAAATACTACACAAAATGATATAAATCAAACCAAGGGTGGCACATGCGAAGTAGACAATGCTAACCTTTTAAGAACACTTGAATTATCTCAAACGTTTTAATAACATTAACGGTACCAATCTCAATTCACCGAATGTACATTTTGACAATTTGTGTCTCTTCAAAGATGCTAGAAGCATCTTGAAGCTTATCATACGCATATGCCTATGTAAGATACAAAGCAACACATCTGTTATGTTGCATTATGGTATAAAAATGTATTTACAATGTATCTACAAATATACAAATGGAACACTTACACCTCTTTTTTGTGACAGTAAAATTACAACAATGTATCATTGTATTTCCTCATGTTAGAAATAGTAGATATAAGACATGAACATTTGTTTAAGACTGAACTTATTTTCTCTAATATAAAGTTATTTAAAAAAAAAGGATAGCATTGGGAAACTATAAATAAACAAGAGTGCACACGCTGATATGTCTTGCCTGCTTTACTGGCCATCGATTTTATGTTGAAAGTCTTAAAGATAAAGGTTTAACTAAAAACATCACAGAAACTCAGGTCAGATAAATGCTGTCAGACAGACATATACACCTTACAATTTTTTTTTACACAAAATATAATTGACCTATTGCTTATAGTACTTGAGAAACAGACCAAAACACAAAAACTTAACATTGACTAATGAACCATGAAAATGAGGTCAAGGTCAGATGATAACTGCCAGACAGCCATGTACACCTTACAATCATTCCATACACCAAATATAGTTGACCTGTTGCTTATACATGTTATAGTACTTGAAAAACAGACCAAAACACAAAAACTTAACATTAACCAATGAACCCTGAAAATGAGGTCAAGGTCAGATAAACCTGCCAGACTGACATGTACCCATTACAGTCATTCCATACACCCATATACCAAATATGGTTATCCTATTACTAATAATAAGTGAGAAATTCACATGACAAAAAAAAAATCAATTCTTTTTTCAAGCAGTCGCTGAGCCATGAAAATGAGATCAAGGACATTGGACATATGACAGACGGAAACTTCGTAACATAAGGTATCTGCATACAAGATATGAAACATCCAGGTCTTCTTCCTTCTGAAATATAAAGCTTTAAGCAAATAGTTTAGGCCACCGCCGGATAGTAATACCTATGTCTCGATATACTGCGACTTTCGTCGCAGGCGAGACAAAAAATAAGGATTTACACGCCAAAAAAATCGTTCAGCGAAACACATGATTATGACAATTTCTTTTTATTCTCTCTTAGAAGGTCCTGTATACTTTACACCGAATTTGATCCCGATTTTAGAAAATAAAATTCCTCGAATACTTGGAGTGCGACAGGTATTTATCCTTTATGATAAGGAGAGAAAACTAAACAGGTTCGTTAAGGAAACAATTTAACATTCAGATTAAAGATAATTGAGAATGCATACATTGAATTGTATAAAAGTGATTTATCAATAAGCTAGGTGAGAGATGAAGAATGTACCGCTTTGGAGAGACATTATGTCGATGTAAAAGATTTTTAAGCACAATATAGTTAATATACGATCTGAATTAAAGTGATTTTATTAAATAATATTGTGACAAAATGTAATTTATAAAATGCCGTTTCATTAGAATAGTCTAGACGCGTCTAACATGCATTTAACTGATTGTGTCCTATTCGCGTTTGTAACATTTTCAATTAGTGGAAAGTCTCGTTGTGGGTGCTTCATGCAACCAGGAATCGCATACTCTGTCGGCGCAACTGGTCTCATATCTTTTGGAGTTCATGCCAGTTTATTAGTTTTTGTTTAGTACCTTCATTTGTCTCTTTTTGTATTGATTTACGATCATCGGTAACAACTGTTGCCTTAAGTTAAGTATTTAATATAAAATGTATAGAGCACACGAATCTACATGTTGTGCAGACATGTCTGTAATAGTTATCCCATGAGGACGCGATGTGTCAGTGTAAGATCACCCCGATGGCCGGATGGCCAAGTCCGAATGGCATAACTATTTTACATCCCGGGTGTTCTAGATTAGATAAAAACCCATTTACGCTTCATAAAATCTAGCTTAGAACACACAATCATTATAATATACTTTAATTATTACTATATAGTATATACACTTTTTGAGCCCCGAACACAATGTTTAAATATGTTAAATTTACAGAGTTTGTATCCAGTCGTCCTGGTGTAGGGGTATGACTCGTGGGTCGATATGCTAAAGGTCTCGAGTTCGATTCCCAGCATAGATACAGGATTTTTTGGACACAAATTTTGATAATAAGTCTATTTCGTATAAATATTTCTAAGTTTTATTGTGGATTTGATATTCTCGCCAAAATGTTACAGAACAAAGGAAAGCATGCAGAACAAAGAAACTCAAGCTAGGGTGATCCTGCTCAGATCACCCCTGGTAGAACAAAGGAGCTGGGATGTAATTGTAAAGAATACACATGAAAATCCATTTTTATAATAGAACGAACCTTAACGATAGAATTTAGAATGCAATATGAAAAGATAGCTCTTATAATGGGCTTTAGAAAATGGATAAAAGAGGCCGTACTCTTTTTCTTGCCACACTACAAAATAGGTTAAATATTTGTACATTTTTGTTAAAAATAAAATTATATATGCTATTTCTCCCATTCAATTGATTATTTGAAACAAAAATGGGAGCAAAAAAAGGAGTATTTTGCTTTCATAAAACTAAAAGTATCAATAGCCACCTTATGTTCTTAATTTTTCAAAGTTTCAAGATAAAAAAGTCATACAAAAAACATTGCCATGTTTCATTAATTTCGGAATCGGAATTCTTGACTGAGCCAGGTATTTTTTCCCTTAAATATCAGTCAAATTCATATAGTATTAGCTAAACGTTAATATATTGAAAATTAACACTTTATACATTCAAAGGCCAAGGATGTATAAGAACCGAACCATATTAAGAGTTGTATAAACAAACCTGACCAAAGTGAGACCAGACTATTGCTAAAAAAATATGACGTCACAGGTCAATAACGTTCTGTCAAGTATGAAACCTGAATACACCGATCCACTGTATAAATTGGCCTTTAACATAGTATAATTGCCGACCGGGTCACACAGGTTTTACTGTATCGCTATCATTCAAATAACGCTCGAGTTTTCAATTAAATACCAGGTAAATCAGACATAGTTAGCCTTAGGTGGTTCTGGTTATTGATTCTATATCGTTTTTGGTCATGTAGCTTCCCCTGCATTCAAGTGTTAATGCAATAGTTGACTCTAAATTGTTTGGATTCCAGGAAACTTGGGAAGTTTGATAAAAAAAAAACAAAAATAAATAACGGCAGATTTGCTGTAAATACTGATTGAAACAATGTCATGACATTACTTTGAATTCAGGTTGCAACAGATTTTTTTTCTTACCAATCAGTTGTGTTTTCAGTGTATCATCTTCAATGTTAACTAAATGTGAAGACACCAGTTTGAGTATTGCCTGTTCGAAATAAGTTGAAATAAAATGTAAATTTAAACCATGTGCATAGCATATGCATTGATATGATAATATATGGTCATGATTATTATTGTTTCTGTATAAAGGTTGCAGTCCATTATGGTGTCAGTGTCATTGACCATGTTTCATAAATGAAATACAGTACAAACATTAAATCAGAAATGTGTTAGAAAATTTATATTGAGAAAAACCTAGAATTAAGAAAATATCTGCTTTACATGTGTATGACACTGAATATCATCATAAGATCTTAAGGTAATAAGATTTTTTGAACGGTAAATGCTTTTAATGATATTTCCCAAAAATAAAGAACAACTGACATAAGCTAGACATAAACACAATATAATATCTTAGATCAATTCAATACAAACAGGGATGTATAAACCTTCTACTTTCAATATATATATATCACTGAGACATTAATTGTCGAAATCCGGATATGATGTACAAATTTTTGCACCTCGTGTTTGCGGTATGCCATCTTTTCTGCAAGTTTATTGTTTTCTGTTTGGTATTATTGAATTAATAAATTAAATAAAGATCCATTTTGTTACATCTTGTGATCCGTTTATTTGACAATCGCCAATGGCAGTCGGCACGGTTTAAGAACATCCGTTGTTCGACCTGTTAGTCAAATGCGTTTTGTTTAAATATACTTTTTCACTTTTGGTCTTTTGGAACTTGTTGTTTGTGCTGTATTTAGACCCCTCTACCAAGAAATTTGGTTTGCATGCACACGTATAAAAAATTCCGGTTTTTATCCAACGCAATCATAGGTTTGAACGTTGTTTTCAATTTAGACTTATTTATATCTTTTCGTTTGGGCTTGTTTTATATTTTCCTTCGGGTTTATATGATCCGTTCATCCTATTTCGACTTTTTAAAATTCAAGAGTCTTTCCTAAATTGAGGTAAATTATATGGCCTTCCAAATAACGTTTCGTTCCCTAACATCACTGAAGAGACATTAATTGTCGAAATCCGGATATGGTGTACAAATTTTTGCACCTTATGTTTGTGGTATACCATCTTTTCCACTAGTTTATTGTTTTCTGTTTGGTATTAAATTAATATTAAGATACATTTTATTAGATCGGGTGATCAATTTATTTGGCAATCGCCAATGGCAGTCAGCACGGTTTAAGAACATCAGTTGTTCGACCTGTTAGTCAAATGCGTTTTGTTAAAATAGACTTTTTTACTTTTTTTGGTCTTTTGGAAATTGTTGTTTGTGCTGTATTTAGACCCCTCTACCAAGAAATTTATTTTACATGCACACGTATAAAAATTGCGGTTTTTATCCAACGCAATCATAGGTTTAAACGTTGTTTTCAATTTAGACTTTTATATATTTTTTCGTTTGGGCTTGTATTATATTCTCCTTCGTGTTTATATGATCCGTTCATCCTATTTCGACTCTTTAAAATTCAAGAGTCTTTCCTAAATTGAGGTAAATTATATTGCCTTCCAAATACCGTTTCGATCCCTAAAATCACTGAAGAGACATTAATTGTCGAAATCCGGATATGGTGTACAAATTTTTGCACCTCATGTTTGTGGTATACCATCTTTTCCACAAGTTTATTGTTTTCTGTTTGGTATTAAATTAATATTAAGATCCATTTTGTTAGATCTGGTGATCAATTTATTTGGCAATCGCCAATGGCAGTCAGCAGGGTTTAAGAACATCAGTTGTTCGACCTGTTAGTCAAATGCGTTTTGATAAAATAGACTTTTTCACTTTTTTTGGTCTTTTGGAAATTGTTGTTTGTGCTGTATTTAGACCCCTCTACCAAGAAATTTGTTTTACATGCACACGTATAAAAATTGCGGTTTTTATCCAACGCAATCATAGGTTTGAACGTTGTTTTCAATTTAAACTTTTATATATATATATATATATATATATATATATATATATATATATATATATATATATATATATATATAGAAGTCTATGAAAAAGACCAACCAGCAAATTAAATATGTACCGGATCGTCTAGAATAGACGATACTGCGCAGATAAGGAAAATTTATATAAGTCTAAAGATTTGCACAACGGTACTAACATAAGATGGTAATATACGAAGATGATGTTATAAAATCGTGTTGACAAATATTTCGGCTTAACAAATAGCCTTCGTCAGTGTCGATAGTTTTTACAATACTAATTGTATGTGTAAAATTAGCTAATCTTTAGACTTATATATATATATATATATCACTGCTGGTGATCCGATGGATAAAATCTGTTGTAGAGTCGTCACTGGTTCAGACGTACTTATAATATAATTATTTCTGTGATTGCATCTTACATTAATTTGTAGGATCCTTTACTACAATAGATAATTCAGCTGATCTGTAACAATTCCATCTTCATGCCTTATATATCATGTACTGTGTTATGACACTAGATTAAAACTGACGAGGAAAGGTAACACCCGGCCACCGAAAGCTTTATTATTTAGAGCCTAGGTGGTCGAGTGGTCTAGCGCGTCGGGCATAGTGCAAGGCGATTTGGTGCCAAGATATCTCAGTAGCATGAGTTCGAATCCCGGGAGGGAAGAACAAAAAAAAATTTGCGAAAACAGATTTACAGATCTAACATTGTTGGGCTGATGTTTAGACGAATTATATATATATATATATATATATATATATATATATATATAAAGTGCCTAGAAAATCAACCTAACAATGTTAGAGTAGATTTGATTCTTTACTTCCTCCCCAAGCGGGGCTGGAACCTGTACTTTTCACTTCATACTTCTACGGCAACACCGCCTAGCATTGCGCAGACGCCTTATCCCCTCTTCTAACTATAGCTATCCTGTACTTTTCACTTCATACTTCTACGGCAACACTATGAACGCAATGCTAGGCGGTGTTGCCGTAGAAGTATGAAGTGAAAAGTACAGGTTCCAGCCCCGCTTGGGGAGGAAGTAAAGAATCAAATCTACTCTAACATTGTTAGGTTGATTTTCTAGGCACTTTATAAATATTCTAAAGCCTGGCATTTCTTAATCATAAGAAATCCGATGGACAAGGTATAATTTACAGTTGTCACTACACATAGGCAGACATACATATATATATATATATATATATATATATACATAGGTTTGAACGTTGTTTTCAATTTAGACTTGTTTATATATATATATATATATATATATATATATATATATATATATATAAGTCTAGAGATTTGCACAACGATACTAATATAAGATGGTATTATACGAAGATGTTGTTAATAAATCGTGTTGACAAATATTTCGGCTTAACAAATAGCCTTCTTCGGTGTCAATTATTTTAACAATATAAGTGCCTATAAATAGCAGCACATGACATACAAATCTATGGGAGTGTGGATTAATCAGTACAGAGATTAATTCAATTACACAAATAAAATTATAGATTGCCTAACAATGTAATTTTAACACACTATTTAGTATGTAAATATAAGAATGTTTAAAATATTTACAAAATGATGAAAATAAACGCAATATTTCGCTAGACTAACTAGCTTTATCAAGCGTGCATCTATCCAGGTGAAATCGGATGTAGATGATAAGAAACTTTTGCAGCTCAATGTATATGTTGCACTTGAATTTAGCTGCCTTGAAAATAATACATAATTTGGATGAAGTTCAAGATTTTTACAAAATTGGTAGTTGAAGTTAGCAACGTCCATTGGCCAATATTACAGGATAAAAAGGACGATATTGTGTACTAAATTATTCTTTATCTTTCCTGTATCTTTTCTCATCTTTTTCGTTAAGACCATCAGGTTCTAAAGTGTGGAGTTGGTGGATCCAAAAATGTTCTCTTCTCCTTCTCGCCGTGGTGTCCCACTCGGTGTTGACTTCTATGATTTGGAAGGTAACATTATCAAAAGAATGTTTCGTTGAACGAAGATGTCTTGTGAGAGGACAGTTTTTGTTGGTTTTGTACCATGAACGATGGTTATTGAGCCGAATATTAAATTTGTCCATTGTTTCTCCCACATACTGAATGCCACATGTGTCACATGTTAATATATAAATTGAGTTCTCCGTTTTACAGTTGGAATTTGAGTAGATGGTATAATTTTGTTTAGTAACGGAGCTGATGAAAGAACTGCTTGTATTGGCAGCTTTACAACACAAGCAGTTCCTTCGACCACATTGTTTGTAGCAACCGGGAGATGGAGTAGGCTGCTTTGCTAATACAGATGTCACTAATTTGTCACGGATGTTTTTAGGTCTTCTGAAGGCCATGACTGGTGGTGAGGAAAATACTTTTTTAAGATTTGAATCATTTTCTATAATTTTCCAATGCTTCTGAACAATGGAAGACACATTTTTAAAATCAGGATGGTAAGTGAGTACAAGGGGTGTTCTGTTAGCTGCTTTATTCTTATCTTTGTACTCTAGAAGTTCTTGGCGACTAGTTTTGTTTGCTCTTTCGAAAGCGCTATCAATGATGTTGTTATTGTATCCTCGAACAACTAGATGTTTACGTAGTTGTCCAAGTCTAGCATTTTGCGTATTTTCAGTAGAGCATATTCTCTTGATTCGCAATGCCTGGCTGAATGGGATGCCACGGGAGCAGTGTTTAGGATGGCAACTTTTAGGAGAAAGGAATTGATGTTTGTCCGTTTATATATAATATCTTTTGATAATGTTACCTTCCAAATCATAGAAGTCAACACCGAGTGGGACACCACGGCGAGAAGGAGAAGAGAGAATTTTTGGATCCACCAAAACCACACTTTAGAACCTGATGGTCTTAACGAAAAAGATGAGAAAAGATACAGGAAAGATAAAGAATAATTTAGTACACAATATTGTCCTTTTTATCCTGTAATATTGGCCAAAGGACGTTGCTAACTTCAACTACCAATTTTGTAAAAATCTTGAACTTCATCTAAATTATGTATTATTTTCAAGGCAGCTAAATTCAAGTGCAACATATACATTGAGCTGCAAAAGTTTCTTA